ACCTGATAATGACAAAACCTTGTCGAAACATTGTACATTTGCTGTTATGTTAAACTTATATTAAAGTTTTTCTTCATTACCCATTCAAGCCATCTATAAGTATTATTAGTCTCAAAGTGGGTTCCTTGTCATCGAATTTAAACAAGTTCAAAGTTCATAACTAGAAGAGATAATTATTTTCTATAATTCTTTATTTACTGTTCTATGTTTTAAAAGAAATAACAGAAATTTAAGAACTTATTTTAAATAGTTATAATATATATACATATATAATGTATTAAAACTCAAATATCACGGTATTTTACACAATACTAGTTCACTAAAACAGAGCCAAGACAGGTTACTTTGTAAAGGCCAGTTTTATATACTTGAATACAGTAACATGAGTGCATGTGCACTGTGTCATTGCAAATTCTATAATGTTAGCCAGGCATGGCTGAAGAGTAAATATAATAAAAATAATAAGTATATATTAATGTAAAATGTTATGAAATTTAAGCTATTTAGACTAAACATTTGTGTTTTCGTGTTGTAATCATTCTAGAACAAAAAAAGCACAATTTATATTTATTTCTCATTTTTATGGAGGTTATCGAACCAACCCATTTAGAGATAAAGTAATAAAAATAACACATAAAATATACAGTTTGTTTCTAAAAAATTTGATAATTATCTGGAGGTTATAAAGACTTTGCATGTGAAATTTGAAAATGTTCTGATGCATAAAAGTATGTTTAATCTTAAAATCAAAATTACTTTGCATATTTGAACAGTCAACATTCTAAAAGTCAAAATTTTATGAGAAAATCTATTATTAAAATATCTTAATACTCGATTTAAAAACCTGATATTTTGTGTATGAAAGCCTTGTAATGTTTACCAATAACCTGCAAAATTTTGTAAAGATATGCCTACATTATTAAAAATCATAGTATATTTACTCTCATGGATACTTTTGTGGTAATGAGCTGGGTGAATTCAACCAGTCTGTAATGGAAGGGTTAATTAACGTACTTAAAGAAAACTATGAAATGAGAGATGGAAAATTAAAAGAAAATCATGAGGTAACAGACAGGAATTTAAGAGGCATTAGAAGAATTAAGAACAAAATAAATTTAATTGAAAACTAGATCAAAGAAGCTATGTAGAAGAATCAGAACAACAAAACTCAAATAATACACAAATACGACAACAGAGTGTAGAAAGCCTATAATGACAAAATTGAAGAAGTTAAAAAAAATCAACAAAATACAGAAATATTTTAACAGCATAATCAATGAGGTAAAAAAGAACAATGACAGAATAAAACATTTGATTATTTGGATAATAAATTAGTAAATGCAAGGATCACACCAGCTATACCTTTCTCTGCATCCACCCAATAATTACATCCTAAAACACCTTTAAACAGTGGTGAAAGTATGATGGTAAGGTCTGATATGGCATATCATTTTATATTTCAATTTATCGTAATGGATTTTACCGATACTGATGGTTGTTATGCTACACTGTTGTAAAAGAAATTGCTCTTCAGGTTCTACTCCCAGTCAGGTGGGACTCATGCAGGTAATATAGATACTATTTTTGATTCCATTTCAACCTAAATAAAATGTTTTCAAATCAACCTTAAATGAACTAATTTCATTATTTTTTCCCATATTAACTGTATTAGTTGTTAGTATTAAAACGCATGTAGTCAAATATTGTAACATTGTTCTACATAAATTCGCAATGTTGATTTGTATATAATGTGTATAGGTGGGGAAAAGAGCAAAGAATACTACCATACCAATAGGAAATTAGTTACTTAAACCACTGCCTTTTAATATGAAATGGAACTCATTTGGTTTGCAAATGTTAACTACTGCTGTGTCATCTATGATCATAGAGCCTTCCTGGTCTACTCTACCTATATCATTACCTCACCAAGTTACAGAATTTAGCAGGCCAATCCAAATACATTGCCCAATTGAGAAACCAACAGACTATGATGGAAAGTACCACGCAAGGCATGTTAGGATCAGTTTGAAATAACTGCCAAGTGAATGGAAGGAATTGTGAACAAGTTATATATCTTTCTGCACATTTAAGAAGACCAGCCTTAACAATGTTAATCACACTACCAGCTAAGAGCCATAAAAATGATACCTAGATAAACAGAATACTCCATTCATCCAACTAAACATAAGGAATTATTATTTTACGAAACCCCCCCAAGAGTAGAAGGATTATTGATAGGAATCCTTGTAGTATGTTGATTGATACTGGTTCTACAGATAGAATCTAACCTGGAAATGAAAAGTGGGAAATTGTTTCCAGAGATGACAAAAGAAAATAGACTAATGTAAATATCAAGTGGGCAAAGTTCCAGCAAGAGGAAAGATGAAATTCAGTCTCATTCTCACAGTGGGAGTCTACTGTACACAACATAATGTAACAGTAATTCCTACCAAGGCAGAGTGTACAAGATAAATAAAAAAATTGGGAATTTAAAAAGCTGCAAATAGGGATCCTAAAAAAATGTAAGGAAATATGGCTGGAGATACTGTAGACATTATTTACTCAAATTACAAACCCTTAATTTTGTGATGTAAAAAAATTATGCTTATATAGTTGTAGTGCAGTTGCTTATGGTATTTAACATTTTATACTTAGTCTACATTCTTCTGATGAAGCATTAGCATTTTTAGCTTAAAATAGTCACATGCAATGATTTCTGTTTGCACTTTGTATTTGGAAGCCCAAAGCCATATTGCTACTGTCAGGTTAGGTAGGCCAGATTTTTTACAGTAGGTGTCTGTGATTTGTTGTTGATACACTCCAACAATAAACAAATGGCAACACAGTCCAGTTGTTTTAAAATAATATATTAAAACAAGTCAAACATATATACAAATGTTTGTCGACTTTTCACTAGATGTTTGTGGAACTTATGTGAACAGCCATGCAATTGTTTAAGCTAGATTTCATCCAAAATTGCTTCCAGATTTAATCTTATAGCCAATACGTTCTACAATTTTTCTAGAGAGGCATGCCCCCAGATGAACGTAGCATTATCATGCTTTGCATACTGATTGTGCTTTGCACAGTATGTACTGACTTTTGATCTCGCAAATTAGAATCCCACTTTCAAAAATTCTACGTACAAGACTGTATAGTTAAACCAAACATTGAAACTTAGGGAGGTGTCAATATAGAATTCATATATATTTAGTGTTAGTTATATATACAAGTTAAAACTGAAATAAGGCTGTATAGCACTAAAAGTTAAACGTATACATATTTTCACACAGTTTGACCTCACCGTAGTTTCTCTGTATCAATTTTGCTAAGATAATGATCATGTGGTTTAAACAAATTAAAATACAATTTACAGTCATGGTGTTAGAAAAACATGTAGGTTCAAAAAGTCTTGATAGAAATTAATAAAAATCCTATACGTTTAAGTATAACCCGAGCGCTTTCGAAAAGTGGACCTTTCTTCTTCAGGGTCAAACTGGAAATACAATTGACAGCATGGTTTTGGAAGCACGGCATTTACTGATTTAGGGTTAACTAACTCAGTAACTCTAAAGTGTAATGTAAATGCCAACAAGAGCTCTGTGAGTAAAAAGATTTTTTCAAACACTGAGTTCACATTCTAAACAGTTTCAACATACCTTATATATAAAATAATATAGCTAACTTTCAGACAAACTTGTATTACTAATGTAAAGATAACACTCACTCACGTACTTACTTCCAGAGATTAGCAACACGAAATTTGAAGACTAGGTTAATTCTTGTTTCAACCACCTGTACACCTCCGCGGGTAGAGCGTCGTCATGACAGTAGTTCGCACTACTTGCAATGCTGTGTCGCTTTCCTTTAATTCCCCATTTAGGATCGCTTATAGCAACAAGCAGTCAATTTTACTAGAAGTTCAAGAACTGTTATGTTTAACTTTGTAAACGTTTCATTGGCTTTTTAAGGAAAATTTAATAAAACTTAATCCCGTGCTTTATAAATGTTTGGGTTATGGTTATTTATTGTTGAGCTGATAAAAGTTCCCAATGCCGCAATATACAATTATAGGTAGAATGACCTAATCACCAATATTGTAGCAAAAATATAATCCCTCCGCCGATATCTTTCTTAAACCACTGAAAACAAAGAAATTATTGTGTTAAACTCACTCATTTTATTTTTAAAAATTCAAAATTAAGCAGTTGCAATATAATTTTATATTCATTTTTTACATTCTTTCAAATTCAGAAAATCAAAATATTTACAACTTCGTATCGGGCAAGGCACACTACTTCGTACTTGGATAGGACTGCTGTTGCACTTTCTTCCCGAGTTCGATCACAAAGTGAGTTCTCGGGTTGGTTATCGCTGAATGTTTTTCGAGTGTGTCCCAACTGAGCGGTTCGGGTCAGCTCTTTCCATTTTTCAAAACATGGATCTTCAGACACTTCAGAAACACTTAAAATCAGCTATCCAGAATCATCAGGTAGGAGTTTAGAAGTTTGGTCATCTTTCTTTCTCTTTGAAATTTTGCTAAATCTTTCTCTGAGACCGCATTACCAAGCACGCGCGAGCTGAAACTTAAGTTTACGTTTCTGCACACTGAACTTTTGTTTAATACTGTTTCTGAATTAGCTTTATGTTACAATAAAAACGTTTGAAAAATATTTTGATTTATGATATCTTAATAAGGCTAATCTACTTTTGATATATTATATAAACTTTACTTCTTGAGTAGTGTATCTAAACTAAAGTTATGATGCTATAGAAAAACTTCAGTGATGAAGGTACCGGTAGCGAGCTGACGTTAGTTGCCGAGTTGCGTGCGTGATGTACGCACGGATCGCTGAACAGTTGTACTATTGCATTTTTAGTTTTAAATATGAATAACATGGTGATAAGAGCAGTAAGAAAATATGTTGTTTACTTAATGTATTGATTATCGTAAGCTATATTTTACTATCATTTGTTTAAATAATTATGCTTGTTTTTTTTTCCTTTTTAGATCGTTGTGTCTAAAATGAGAAACGACCCCCAGGTGAGTTACTCGCTATGAACTAAGCAGTTTAACTTTGTAAGTTATTGATTTTTCAGTTTCATTGTTGTGAAAGTTATAATGCCGCATCCTGGCATATGCTTTTTTCACTCTCAAATTACTGTGATATTAAAATAATGCGTATTTAAGTACATAGTAAACTTTTTCCACATATACAAATTACAAAGATTTTACTTAAAAATGAAGTAGAAATGAGCTAATAATATTATATCAACTATAGTTTTGTTGAGATAAAAATATTTAATAGTGCTTTAAATAAGTAATGTACTTTAAAATATTTATGTCATATTTCATTTAAGTAACTAATAACTATAAGCATAACCACAATTACATTAAGTAAGTAGTATTAACATGGAAGATGTCCTATGATAGTTTTGTTTCAGAACTGTGTAATGACCTGGAAATGGTGAAAACAAACTGAACTCCTGAGTTAGGCTTGAATCTGGGACTTCCAGCTCGCAAGTGTTTGAGAATGATGCCCAGCCAACTGAGCTATCATTGATATCATGACTTCAAGCCTGAGCTTGACAGTTTTCCCTTTGTATCACTAAACATTATAATTGTTTATTTATAATTAAAATTTTTGTTAAAGCCTTTGTGTTATATTTATTTAATTTTCAAATTAAAGATAAAAAAATTGGTGGTTGGTAATACAAAAAATTAAATTAAATTTTAAGTATTCTTTTATTTTTTTTTAGATTTGTCTACAAAACCCAGTTATTTGATGGATACTTATAGGTATATTTGTAGTTGGGAGTAATTGATGTATGCATATTTGTGTTTAAGAATGGCTCAAAAAACTAATTTTTAATTGATTGCTTGTGAATAAACATTTTGAAAAGGTTATGTAATTTTTGGAAAACTTTTTGCTAGTTTTCTTATGAACATAAGACTTGATTTGTACGTGGATTGAGATGTTTGTTTTTGTTATACAAGATCCATCCCAAGATAATTTTCTTCTTTCATGCTACTGAGTTGGTTCTCATATATATTAAATGTGTGATCTAAATTATAATAACCCAAAAGCATTACCGTGTACTTATTATAAATAAAGGTCATTTATCAAATACTTGTCCAACTTACTAATTGATCTAAGCCATTCTGTAATACCTCAACATCCTCATTGCATCTGAAAGTACCAAAAAGTTTTATATAATTAGCAAACGACTAATTTACTAATTACATCCCTATCAATATTATTAATGTAAATAAAAAAGAGCAAAAGACCAGACACTGATCTTTTGAGTCAATCCACTAGGCAAGGGTCCAGTTTGATTGGACTCCATTAAAAACAACCTATTACTTTCTTCCATCCAACCATCCTACTGTCCAGTTAACTAGTCTTTCTCCAACCCATACTGATGTGATTTTCCTAGCTAATCTTTTGTGTGGCACCTTATCAAAAACTTTCTGAAAAATCTAAGTACACCAGTATATATCCTTTGCATCATTACTATGTTAAAAAAAAGTAATAGATTAGTAGAGACAAGATTTCCCTAAGTAACAAGTATTCTCAAAAGTTGACCCCTCCTAAACTTTGTACTATCATCACAGGAACACTAGCTCCTTTTGCCAAAAGCAAAAATTAACTGATAGTCTATTTTAAAATAAGCAACTAAATTGTGAAGTGTTGTACTTAGTTATTCATAGACATCTTCTCTTAACTTTTTCTAGAATGCAGTACTGCAGAAACATTTGCATGATCTTCAAAGTGAAATTCAAAATCTTAGTGAAAAACAGGTATGTTTACTTCTTTAACTGCAGAAAGATCACATAAATATTAAGAGGTATCAATCAGTTAGCATTTGTTATAATGTTTAAGATTGATATATTTAACTTCCGAGGGTGATTGAGAGATTAAGCCTTTTAAAAACATGTTTTTACCATTATTAATTGATAAATTTTTACGGGGCATGTGAAAAACAACAATATAGCAAATTTTACACTCACCAAAGATTTTCAGGTAAAAATATATATATATATAAAAGAAAAACCTCAGACATTATTTACTTGAAATAACTTATAAGAGGCAATTATGCACATAAAAACAGGAAATTTCATCAAATTGAAACACTACTTAAATACAACTTTCATCTGCTTTGTCTATTTATTACTTACTCCCCTAATGAGGAGGATTCTATCCAGAAATGGTTAACTCAAAATGGGGGGAGGGAGAATAAAACGTTCAGAAAACAAGATAGAATCTATACTTTCAAAGTATTTACTACCAATCTAATAATTTCTGAACTTAGGTTGTCAAAAGGCTGTTTGTCCATTTCCTTAACCAGTGAAACTTTGCAAAAATGAATTTTTTGTAGCTGAATATGTTCAAGCAAATATCTTAAATAGGATAATTAGAAGAAAATGATGTTTAAAGGAGTTTTATACAAAATAAAATGACTGCAAATATATATAATTACTAAAGCAGTTAGGATTTAGTCTCTAATAGTAAGATTCTTCTCCAGTAACCACTTTATTTCTGTTCATAAAATAAGTACCACTTCTAAAGCTACTGACAAGCCAATAAATTGTTAGATCTAAAACTTTATCTCAGAACTATGCTAATTAATGTTGATTGGATTTGGTTTTTCAAGATGTCTCTTACAAAATGATTTCTTGATCCTTGATGATATATTTCAATAACTAGTATGTATTAATAAGTGTACAAAAACTGATGTTTAGTTATCAGGACAAACATGTTTACTAAATCAGCATTATTTCTTTTTGGAAGGAAGTGCTAACTGAACTAACAGTATTTGATCAGTATCTACATTTTTGTAAAATACAAAGGGTAAATACTCCATAATCTCTAAGTGTGTTATTTATGGTACATGCAGGTAAACCTTATGTTCAAGAACATTTGTTCCCTGGTGGGTTTTTTTTGTTCAAATTACAGATATAAAAACCTGATTAATAACATTTTATGATCCATGCTAAATACCTTTTGTTTTTCCCTTTATTATGGACCTTGTGTGTATTTATGAGTTTTTTGTGTCGGTGCACTTCTGGTTTTTTTGTTTTGGATACATCAGAAATTACCAATTGCACATATTGAGAAGTTTAAAAAGATTTAGTACCATTATGGTTGCAGTCATTGTAGCTGGGTTTTAAGCTCTTTCAGTTGAAACCTTCTACTTCTTAGATATATGGATATGAAGGGGGTAAAGTTATTTTTGGTTTTTATTACCATGATTTTTTATCTACAACAGAGTCATGCCACTTACTAGGCAAATAAAAATATATTTTACTCTTCAAATTAAGCTTCTACATTTAAAAGTAAATTACCCATCACTTTGGAACAGAAAAGTTAGTCTTAACTGGAACATTTTTCTTATTCATTAGAATCTTCAACTATTTTCAAAAACTTTCAGTTTTATTTCTAATGATTTAGTATTTTTTCATTTAATTTCTTAATCTTATAATTAAGTATGGTTTTAGAAAAGATACCATCTTTTTAGATAAGGTATATTGTAAGTTCACAGTTAAAAAATTTATATTTTTAAGCCTCATTGACATTTTTGTTTTAATCTAATCAAATAATATTTATGTTAAAAACTTTATCCATTTTTAAACTATTTCTTTTGAAAAATTGGTAATCTTGCAGTTATTAGCTATATTTTTCAAAATATGAAGGGTGATCTGACCATTACTGTTTCTCATTGTACTATAATCAATTTTCCCCTGTTTGTGAACTTAAAAATCCATATGACAGAAAATTGTTGAGACCACTAGACAACCTTTTGCATTTAGTTCTGTCATAAAAATTCATATGCAACTTTGTGCAAATGTCTAACATGAATGTAAAATAAGTGAGTAAATGTTACTTCATGTTTATGTTTTGGTATTCAGACATGATTTGTCTCCAGAAATCTCCTCTGTCTTGATTTACCTAATATGAAGTGTCAAATCAATATATGTTTGTCTTACTTGTATTTCATTCCTATACTATAAAGTTTTTATGTCAAGCTAAAAGTAGTTATGCAAGTTTACTTAATTTTGAGGTACCATAAAAAGTACCTTCAAAAAGTTAATGTAATTAAGAAAATTAAAAAATCATTTAAATCATTAAAAAATCAATGTATGAATATCCATAATTTGAAATATTTTGAAAAAAAAAGTAATATAACTAAAAATTTCCAAATATAAAATCATGTAAAGAAAAGGTTAATGCAACTCAACATGTTTGTAGCTAGATTGTTTTGCATACTTGCATTTTGTTAAATTTTTAGAAATTGGTGGTGGAACAGTTGAGAAAAGAAGTGGAAAAGAAGAAACAAAGCCAGAATCAGATTTTGAATCCAAATCAACTTAATGATGTGGTGTGTCAACAAAATACTCCAATTCACACTTCTAGTCAACCTCAAGTGCAAGTACGTTTGGTTCCATCTACAACTCCATCTCAATTCATGCAGAAGGTCACGTTACCTGTAAGATATATATTTATATACATAAATTACTATTTCTTTCTGTATGAATATTTTCATTTTGATTGACAAGAAAAAGAAAAATTCTTTTCAATGACGAGAAATTAAATATGAAACATTTGTCTCTTTTTTTTTTACCATGTTTTGAGTCCATTTGCCAATAAAACATTATTTATAGTTTGTGCATTTGTTGTGAGCTTTATTATATACAGATTATTTGTTGATAATGTAAAATTTCTCATTTTTCTCTGGAAACCATTATTATTATTGATTACATTATAGTCTATGGGATAAGTTTTAGGAGCATATACTTTGCATCATAGGAAGGTATTATCTGTAACATGCAATTAAGAGAAGAATGTTGCTATACCTTAGATTACAAAGTTTTTAAGTTTTAGAACATTTCAAATTATTGTATGAAACTTATCAGAAGTCCTGGTATTACTCATTTATATAAAAACATGTTTATTTACATATCAGAATAACTGTAACTCTAGAATTAAATATTATTACATATACTCCTGAACATCACCATGATTTCACTTGTTCATTCTTGTTCACAGTATCTTATCCTGAAGGAGACCACTTCTCCATCCATTAGGTTTTTTTAACATGTAATTGCACATGCTGATAATGAGATTAGCCCACACATCTTCCTATAACATTGTCATTGATAGTTTGTGCTTTTGATTTTGTGGTCTTGTGGTATTCATTTTGAATTTATTTGTTATTTTTGTTTAACACATTTCTGCAGTCCGTGTTTCTGAATAAATATTTATTTTTTATCAGTTTGTATCTGTGTTGCTGATAATGCCTTTTCTGCTACTACTCCTTTTTTCAGTTTGTCCTAATGAAGTAAGGTTTACCTTTTGAAAGTGCTCAAGTTATTGGGTTTCTTATTTTTGGCAATAAAGAGAGCTATGGTTAAAATCATTATAAAGTTATTGAGACATAGTGTCATACCTATTACCAAATAACTAGGATATTGTAGGATGCTCATTATTTTTAGAGACTGAAAGCTTATAATGCTAAAAATTGGATTTAGATACCATGGTGGACAAACAAACAAATTATATGATGTATCATTTTTATTATACATTAGTTGTATATGCATTTATGTTTTGTTTTTTCTGAATACCAGGCTAGTTGGAAGTGGATAATTAAAAAAAAAAGTATCAACTTGCTCAGAAAAGTTAAATATTATTCCATATTGTTAGCAATATATAAATGCTTGGATATAAATCCTAAAGTTACAAAAATGATTCCAAGCAAAGAATTTTATATAGTATAAACATTTTGAAATCCTAACACAAGTTATTTTTCATTTTACTAAGCTTGTTATTTCAGAACTCATAATTGCAAAACTAAAAGGGATAATCAGGAACTTTGAAATTTTCTTGTAACCTTCTCCTGATCTGTACTTCTCTACCACTTTATACCTGACTATGGACAGCTCCTTGGTTTTCATGATTGGTTTGTCATATCTCTTTGTGGGTTTTGGTTTGAAAAGATGCATTTATTCTGAAGTCAAGTTAAACCACTTTAACTACACACAGACAGAGACCATTACACTCATTTTGTGACCTTTCAAACCTGAACTGATTTAGGGTTGCTATAACAAAGGGGTTGAGAATATTCTAATTTTCTTTGAAAATCTAACTTACTTACAATAATATCAGTGTTTTTTAAGTTTTCTCAGTTTGGAGTAGATTGTGTAGATTCTAAATATAAAGTTCCATTTGAAAGTTTCATGATTGTAAGCTCAGATGGCAACAAAATATGGAAACTTTGCAGAGAGGTGAATACTTTTGCAAGGCACTGTAAATACAGTACACACAGTGTGCATGATGAGAGAAGGATACTGGCACAGTGGTGTTAATGTATGAATAGAAATGATGTTTTAACAAGTGTATTAAAAGGCCAGGTGGTTAGGGAACTCGACTCGCAAGCTACAGGTCGTGGGTTGAATCCTCGTCCCGCCAAATATGCTTGCCCTTTCAGCCGTGGGGGCATTATAAGGTGATGGTCAATCCCACTATTCATTGGTAAAAGAGTAGCCGAAGAGTTGGCAGTGATAAATAGCTGCCTTCCCTCTAGTCTTACACTGCTAAATTAGGGATGGCTAGCACAGATAGCTTTCATGTAGCTTTGTGCAAAATTCAAACAAACAACTGTATTATTCTGTGTTGTGTTGATGTTTTTTTGGTTTGTGGAAATATTACAATTAGTATTTTTTGAAGGGTGGATGAGGAGGTCCAAAGATATTCATGGTTAGGGCCCTCAGTGTGTTGGTACTCCTTCTGATCCTGATTCTTGTAGTTGTTAGGCTGCTACTTATACAAAGTCATTACTATGTATGTCTCTAAGGATTATGGCAGTAATAAAGTTGGTACATCAATAAAAACGTGACAATCTTATATATTATATCTATACCTTTAAGTGCATATGAAGTTGAATTGAACAACCAAGCCAGAGTAACTTGTTAAAATACATTTATTTGAAAAGAAAATGTACTCTAGGTTCCTAAATGGCTAAATCATTTGAAAGATGTAAAAGTACTTTGTAAGTAAAATATCAGAGTTCAACACTAATATTTGACATTGCATTAATGAATGATAAACCTAAAATAAGGTAACTGACATAGTAATTTGGTGTAATATCCCTGTCTTACATCTTTCAGTCTTTTAAAAAGTTTTTAAATAAAAATATTTGAATGACTGAAATAGGTATTTGGTTTAACTTTTGACTACATGTAATCAAGCAAGACTTTTTATAATTGTGAGGGAGGAGTGGCTTTATTTGGTTGTTTTTATTTTGGCTTATTCATAACAAAACCTTGCTTAATATCATTTGAGGACAACAAGAGGCCTTTTGGTCCATCGAGTCTATCCCATACATTTAAAAAAACACCTCAAAACCAGCTCTGATCATTTACCTGCTTATCAAGCCATCCTTTAAACTTCCTTATCTTTACTGCATCCACCACATCTGAAAGCAACACATTCCAAAGGCTAACTACTGTTAGAAAAGTAAACCATAAGCTGAAGATGACTCCTACCCTGCCACAATTATATTTGTCACCTTGTCCTAATACTCTGTTGAATATGAAAAATGATGATGCATCAATAATACAAGTTCCCTTAATAATCATGAACATCGGAATCAGAGCCACTGCAACTACTATTTCAATATAAAACAATTTCAAAGATCTTGACTTGTCATCATATGAAAATATTTTCATTTCAAGTATCATCCTAGTAGCTCTCCTTTGAATCCTTTCTAACAATTCAATGTCCTTCTTAATGTAAGAAGTCCAACATGAAATGAGGCCTAACTGATGACCTATACAATGAAATGATAACCTCTTTAGATTTGTATTCAATATTTCTGTAAATACAACTCAAAATTCTATTTGTACTTTTACTAGTGTTACGTCTCCGTTCGTTAGTTAATTTTCCGTAAATTCATTCCAACGAAACTTTACAATACACTTAATTTCAACAGTCGCTCTATAACAAACGCTCACATCTCACATGGCCAACAATATTTTATCCGCATACATTCAATTACTCATTGCACTGTTGTTCCGTCACGTTGTGAACATCTTATATATACAAGACTAACAGATATCTAGTAAATGCTAGGGCATTCTTGAAGGAACAGGATATTTCTAGAAAGAGGTGGTGTGATACTAGTCACATGACCTCGCTGACGCAACACTGCCCCTCCTTAGTATTGTTCATCCCGAACAATAGCCACTTACAATAAACCAATAACAATTAACAATAACTTAATTAAATAGTACAGAAT